GAGGAGGGATGAGAGTGGTGGCAGAGTTTAGGGGTTGCTGATTTGGGAATTTTAGGACGCATATTTCGGAAGCTAAGAATTCCACTGTTTACATTTTAAACAGTAGCTACGGTGGGACTCCCTTTAGTTCTGGAATATAATAAAGTAGTAATAATAATAAGTTGCTAAAACTACTATCAACTTCATTGATAACACACACATTGAAAGTCTTTTACCACCCTACACAAAGCGAAGCATCAAGTTTATTAACACTTTATGACACATCCAAATAAAGCATAGAAAGACCACTGTCGGAAACCTCAACGAGGGAATGCTGCAATCTCCATGTCTTTGCTACTTAGGAAAGGGATGGGTGCTTCATAAGCACTGAAAAGGCGATATGAGGAGATTAGAGAGAGCACTATGTAACAAGCCACTGCTCCAAAGGTGATGCCGATAGAGGTTGTGGCTTTGTTGCAGAATCCACTGAACACTCCGCATTCCTTGCTCCATGTCACTTGCTCGTCGCCATTGTAGGCCAAGTGGATGATTTCTGATGAGACTGCTCCAGCCGCTAGGATCACATAAGTTAGAACCTGAAAAAATTAGGAAGGGGGTTGTTACTAATTTGGAACTGTATTTGCAATGCAATTGTCATGAGTAAAGACCCTACATATTTGTTTTGTTTATCTGTGCCTATTAATCTTTTTTTTTTTTGTCATTGATCTGTGGTTTTTATTCCGATGTTGTTGATAACAAAAATGAGATTCTGAAATTACCATCATCCGCTGAATAGCAAATGGATGGTAACTTGCCTATGAAACCCAACTTTTCAATATGAAAGAGTAATGAAGTGAAACTCCAAGCTTTCTGTGTGTGCGCGCGCGTTCTCGTGTACATAAAATATTGGTGAAATGAAGTTACATTGTAGTTGGAGTACAAGTAGCTTGAAGCACGGTTCATCATCACAAGTAATAGGAGATGATTTGTGTTTGTGATCCAGCAGAAATAATTGAAAGGGAAGCAATTACAGGTTAGAAAGTAGGAATCTAATCATTTCAAAATCACAAAAGAGTTAGAATATCGGTTGTATATTTGCAAAATGTCTGTTTGTGATGGGAGAGATTGCGTATCTTTTCCTTATTATTTGGCAGAAACTATTTCAGACAAGAGTCAAGAAGGTAGGTTTTCCTATTTAGTAGTGGACACTGATAGGTTCTAATTGCAATTTCTTTTCTTCATTATACCTTTCTTAACCGAAGAAGGCCACAGTTATATAAGGAAGCTGCTTCCAATTTGAAGGAAATTTCACAATTTGGAATTGCATCAAAACCATTTCTTGTAAGTTGTCAGTGAGAGGTCGCAAAATTTTCACTTTTCCTTAAAGGGTTAATAGCCCCTTTACTATCGCTGTTTTGAACTTACGACCCTTATAGTTTCTTGGTAAGCTACTTCAAGATGATGTCATGACAGTCAAGATTAGAAACCCATTAGACATATTTTATTATGGTACCCCATTGGACACACTAAATAAAATTTCACTATGCGAAAGGAAAAAAAAAAAGAGACGTGTTTCATCTCATAAAAGAGACACCCAAACTATGAAAGTTTGATCCTCTTCTCCCGGGATCCCAGATGATGGAGCCCAAGGAGAGCCACCGAACTCCAACAATCGTCCATGTACGATCCATACTAGATCTGTGGTGAATATAAAACTATAATTCTCAAGTTTACTAGATCTTTGAAGTTGTTGTGGGAGTTAAAGAAGTTTGATAAGCAATTAGGTGGGAAGTCGGAGTCAAAAGTTAAGGCATGGGAAAGTCACCATTCATTTGCTCATTCATTTATTACCCATTCATTGCTTGGTTGAATGAATCTAAAATAGCCCAAAAAATTAAAGTTTTCCATCCAATCAGCTGTCAATGCTATGCTCTACAACAAATCATTTTCTCCCGAAAAGCTTTCTCGATCAGGCTAAATTATGAAAAAGCAACATCCAACAACCACTAATTTCACGTGAAAATTCAGTACTCAGTTTAACTACAATAAAATATATATCTTCAACTTTAGACAACTACTTACTTGGATAAACTCTAAGATAATCCTCGAATCATCGGTTTTCCATTTCTCAGATTACTATCCAGTGATTTTTTTTTTAATAGTGGAGAACTGTTGCATCCTGCAGAGCTACTGGATTATTCCCCCTAGTGTGCATGATTCATTAGTTGATCTCATTCATAACACGCACGCACGCATACGGTTCGTACACTGGACTAAAAAACAATCTTGTGGATCTCGACCATTAGATTGCCGATGCATCAAAAATCTGTCTTGATCTCTAGTTAATCTCTAGTTAAGCCAGCGTACTCATTTTGCAGAAATCTTTCGTAGTAGACAACTCCCAATACGCTAGATGTTTAGAGAACTTTGTGGTAATATTGTTCCAAAGTAATTAAGAAAATTCGACAAGGTTAATTAGCCTTCAACCTATTGTTGTTATCAAAGTTGCCCCCGGCTACTTTATCCAGACTTCAAGGTACGTAAACGTTAAGTTCAAGCTTAACCTAATTAAGACATCATCACCTGATCGCAGTAAGGATCATTCATTCACCTCGATCGCAGTCAAGATAGACGGCCCAAGCTCCTTCGCCAGGCGACCCGCCGCGCCGGCTCGCGCATGGGCTATGGTAAAAAAATGCCGACAACAGCGAGTAACCGCGCCACAATACCCCGCTTCAGCATAAACAGTGTAACAGCGAAATGGGATGTGAGGTTAGGCAGTAGCGAAAAACCGAGTCCCGAAACTCAGTTGTCTCTCTGTTCTTGACCATGACCAGCAAGCGCAGCGAGGCAGAGACCCATGCGGCACTATCCTCAGCAGCGGTCTCCGCTGTCCTCAGCAGGCTGCTGCTCTGCTGAGTCATCGCTGGGTTTCGATGGGCTGTTTTCTTGGTTGGTTTCTAGTCCCATCGCTGAGAAAGGGGAGGGGGATGGGTTTTGAGGGCAGGGGACGATGGGGGGTCGGACTTATGTAGGAGCGGGAAAACGAGTCCCAATCTCGAGTCAGAGGCTTTAGCATGTTAAGAGGATTGGGACTCCTCTCGTATTAATACACCCGTTTAAAACTTGGTATTCCTCTGGCTTTATCTTTCCACATACGGATACCTGATCAGTGAAATTTCTTAAAACTGTTCCATCCTCTGGAGATTTATTTGACGTCGAACAACAATTCCTCTTTCTTAGGCGTAAAAGAAGGATGGGGTTTATCGGCAAAAATAAAAAAACTAGAGAGGTAGTAAGTGTCACGCCCCGGACCCGTTGGCGCGTGCAAGCCGTGGGACCCACCGAGTGTAACGTGCTATTTGGCTCAAACCACTAACAAAATTAACTAGCCGATGTTACACTTGAGCCTTTAGCTTTACTATATAAACCACTTATTTTTCTATAATCCCACCAATGTGGGACTAAATTTTGAGTCGGTAGGATGCTACATTCACCCCACCTTACAAAGACGACGTCCTCGTCGCAGCATGACAATTAGCACATTCCAGACTACCAGACGATGTGGACTCTAGAGGTAGTTCCTACGGGCTCTAGAGGTGGCTCCCACCACACGGTGTAGCACTTAGCCCCGCATAGCACTTAGTTCCACACTTCCGGTTGGTAACTGCTCTGATACCATTTGTCACGTCCCAGGCCCACGGGCCCGTTGGCGCGTACAAGTCGTGGGACCCACCGAGTGTAACGTGATATTTGGCTCAAACCACTGCCAAAATCGACTAGCCGATGTTACACTTGAGTCTTTAGCTTTACTATATAAACCACTTTTTTTTCTATAATCCCACCAATGTGGGACTAAATTTTGAGTCGGTGGGATGCTACACTAAGTCACAACGACTTTGCAATTAACGGAGGGGATCCATCCGCAATTTTCTCAGGCATTCTCGTATATCTTGCTTTCATATGATTGAATATGGACTTGCACGACGGAATTCTACCCGAATTAAAGAATATGGTTGCAATTGTCATCCCTTGATTCATTGTTTCAGCGGAGCATCTGTTGTGCGCGGCGTGGAAGCGGGACAACCAAACGGGCGTGCTTCGAGAACTAAATCAAACAAACATCGAGATAAAGGCCAAACAAATCAAAAACAATGTCACAAATCCAAACACAACAGTTTTACGTGGTTCGACAAATTGTCTACGTCCACGGGACAAGAAGGGGATTGGGTTTTTACTAATAGAGAAGAAGAGTACAAACTGAGATTACAAAACGCTCAAACCAATCAACTAATCTCACAAACAAATTTCTTAATCTTTCCAAATAAACCCTCAAACAATTGCTCAGAAAAACTCTCTTTTTTCTGTGCTCCAAATATCTCCAAACCAATCTCCAAACAAAGCCAAAGAAACCATAATTCGTATGTTGGTATTTATAGCAAACACCAAACCCAATAAGAACAGGAAACACAAACATGCTCTGACCCGATTGGCGGTCGACCGCCCAAAGATCGCGGGTGACTGTGATCCAGCGACAGAGACCAAATTCGCCTATAGGGTCTCGCGGTCGACCGCGCCAAATCCAGACTCCTACTCTGGCTTGTGCACGTTCGCGGTCGACCGGCCTTGCGCCCAAAACGACTCCTGCGCCTCCAAACCTGTTCTGATCCAAAATTTCTCGCCGATTCTACAATTCTCTACCTCGGCGAAGTTTCTTCCAAAAACTGAGCCGACACCAACCAAACCAAATGCCTCACTTGTTGCGTCCAGTACGAAGTGAAACGATTCACGACAACAGACTCAATCCACAACAAGTCGAGACCCAAACGGGAGTGCGAACGCTCACCCAAACGTCGGTATCTACTCACCAAATCGGCTGTATCAAAACTGACTGCCTACGTATCCTCTTGCCCAAGAAATCAAGCCTTCACGTAGTTCATCCAAACTGCCTCCAAATGCCCTCAAACAAATAAAAAAAGTCTGCAACTCTTCACCAATATCATTTGCATCCAAATCCAAATGATCCCCAATCTGTGTCACCTCAGCTGGAATCCCAAACGATGCAGTATGATCTGGAGTATGTGGAGTAAACTTCACCCAACGTGGAGTAGCATCACTCTCTACCTGCTGCGATATCCAAACGATCTGATCAACACTCTCTACCTGCCGAGAGTCAAAAAGTGACATACCTGCTCAGAACAAAATCAAAGCTCCCAACCGATAATCAAATAAGCCTCTGAATCCCAAACGCGCAATCGGATCAAATCTCACATCCTTGATGTGACCAAATGCTGGATAACCAAATATCCGACACTAATCAAAATCTAAACCAGCTCCACCAGATCCAAAATCACTAAATGCAACAGTCGATAACCTATGTATAAGATGACCCAAACGTGTCGAAGCCCGAATACCAAGACTAATGCTCGACAACCAACACCGATCCTCCTCCAGAAAGGAGCAGCTCATCAAATCTGTCATCTATATCGTCGCCATAACGTTTCCTCTGCAATGAAGTGTCTCAAACTGCCATGAGCTCGACACAAATACAGAAATAGGTCCCTCTTGTACCTCCCGCTAAAATCAGAATGAAGTACCTTCACCTCCTGCCAATACACTTCTTCAACTGTTGTTGACTACTAGGACTTTAAAACCAACAGGATTTGGTTGTAACCCACAAATGCCTAGTACAATCTCCAACATAGGAAACTAAAATACGAATTTACCTTCCAATGATGCCTCCTTGGAAGGCCCCTAAATGCCTGAATGAACACCAAATAAAAGACCCCTCAATCATCGAATAGAAGTGTCAAACTCCACCTCGGTCTCCTTGCTCATACCAACATGCTCAAAGGACTTCAATATGCAGGTCAAGGGCACTTCTCAATAATCCAATGCATTGTATCAACAAACAAATAACCCAGCCTCAAATCCTTCTATCTCGGCCAACTATCTCAAAGCACCAACAAATGAAGAATATATCCAAACTGATAAATAAGAGAATTTTACCTCCAATTGAAACTCTAACAAGAGTCTCCAAACGATCTCACCCCGTACGACGGCAACGAGATCCGCGAATAGGAAAAATCCCTCCTTTATCTCCAAACGAAGCCCTCGAAGAGCCTCCAAAGCGATCTACTCATCCAAATAGTCCAAGCGCCAACAAACCAATGCGGAACAAACGAAGAATAGATTCAAACTGAAAAAGATAGATTCTTTACCAAAAAGATCCCACCTTTCTCACCAAACGAAGCCCTAGCCGAAACTTCCAAATTGATCTACTCCTCCAACCAAGACAATACCCTAGATCTGGAATCTGGAGCTCTGATACCAATTGTTGTGCGCGGCGCAGAAGCGGGACAACCAAACGGACGTTCTTCGAGAACCAAATCAAACAAACGTCGACATAAAGGCCAAACAAATCAAAAACAACGGTACAAATCCAAACACAATAGTTTTACGTAGTTCGGCAAATTGCCTACGTCCACGGGGCAAGAAGGTGATTGAATTTTCACTAATAGAGAAGAAGAGTACAAACTGAGATTACAAAACGCTCAAACCAATCAACTAATCTCACCAACAAATCTCTTAATCTCTCCAAATAAACCCTCAAACAATTGCTTAGAAAAACTCTCCTTTTTCTGTACCAACAAATCTCTTAATCTCTCCAAATAAACCCTCAAACAATTGCTTAGAAAAACTCTCCTTTTTCTGTGCTCCAAATGTCCCCAAACCAATCTCCAAACAAAGCCAAAGAAACCCTAATTCGTATATTGGTATTTATAGCAAACACCAAACCCAATAAGAACAGAAAACACAAAACAGGCCCTGACCCGATTGGCGGTCGACCGCCCAAAGCTCGCGATCGACCGCGATCCAGGGACAGAGACCAAATTCGCCTACAGGGTCTCGCGGTCGATCGCGTCAAATCCAGACTCCTACCCTGGCTTGTGCACGTTCGCGGTCGACCGGCCTTGCGCCGCGGTCGACCGCGCAGCACCCAAAACGACTCCTGCGTCTCCAAACCTGTTCTGATCCAAAATTTCTCGCTGATTCTACAGCGTCAAAAAGGTATCCATCGTTTCTACTATCAGAAATAAAAGTATGGAACCATTGTTTGGATATTCCTATCAAAATTTATGATTGGAATACAAACCCGCATTTCTATTTTTGATAGTATATATAAGTAAGTTTTAATTTGTAATATAAGCATCATTTCCCATCTGAGTTTGCATCAGATAACAAAGACTACGATGCACTGATTCGAAAGACGGACGTGCTACCGTGACACTGTATGGTTGAAGATACTTTATGAAGGTGGGTAAGGGAGCCGGGTGGTTGGGAAAATTGAATGGGCATGGCATAATGGGTTGATGGCCCACGAAACGATGGCCATTTAAAGTTGGAAGGAGGATTGGGAGGAAGAGTGGGGCACGCATCACAAGGACGAAAGCATTTGATGCGGGTAGCTCGGGGTTTTAGGCTGCTGTTTTCTCCTATACACGCGTCGGTGAAAGAATGCAACGTTGCATGGCAAGCTGGTGCGGTACTCGATCGGGTTACATTTACGTCAGCCATTCCTTAGCTTGTGAGGATCGGGCACTTTGAGTCGCAAACAATTGTTAGTTTTTCTTCAATTTTTTTTTCAAGTCTTGACGCAATGGACGCAATAAATTTGGATAAGATGCCCAACTATTCTCAGCAAGAGGATTCTTCCGAGGTCGTGAATCAACAATGCACTGAGCTGCTTATGTGTGAGGTTCGAAAAGAGGTCAGGCCAATTTGGGTCTGTTATATGCAGTCTTACCTTGCATTTTTTTTTTTTTTACAACAGCGATATGGAACGGTGGGTGATCAATATTTGTGCGCCAGTGGACGACCCATTGGCGAGTTATTTAAAGCCAATAGAAAAAGGGACAGGTTTCATAAAACAACTGCGAACCACTAAGCAATTTGCATAAAAATATAAAATATCTAAGAAGTATCAAAGTTACCCATGTTAAGGGTGTTGTCAAAAAGTCCAAGTATCATTAGTAGCCGGAAGGAAAAATATAGTGATAGAGCAGTTCTATAAAGGGTACATTTGGTTTACTGCAAAATGCAGGGGCTGTAACAGCAATAACAACTGCGTTTGCCAAAAAATATCCACTTGTAGTGGACAACTCACGCAAAATTGAAGGTAAAAGTTGCGACCTTTGTAAGTTGAAAAATAAGGTATAAACTATAAGCAGCCAATGCTCACTCAGCCACTATGATTCAACAAAAATCTAACATCCCAAAACTAACATTTGGACACATCTCCAAATTCAAAATCTTAAACTGAAACCAACCAAGCGCGAAGGAAACAATAACTAGAACTCAAGATAAAGGAGGTCATGAACTGAACTGTACACATCTTATTACCATCCACTTTAAACCAATCTAATTACAGTGTCCCTCACAACCAGATGTCAAAACCTGCGACTTCATACAAGCAGGTCGAGAAAATACATCGAAATGAAAGAATGAAAGAAAGAAGGATTATCAGACTGTACAGTATGTGATAACATTTTCTATAAAATGATATGTGCGAAAACAAGCTCACTAATGTGGCACACATCACCAGTCCTGGGGCAGGTGATTTCGTTTTCGTTCCCCACAGCCATGCTTAAAAGTGCCTGCGGCATAGTCACATGGAAAAAAGCATGACTCCAATATATTTGGTGTAAGTTTGAGAAAACTACCAAAAAGTTTCAAAAATACAGAAAAATACTATGAATTATTTAAGCAAACGTTGCTAAAATTATGTACAGAAGATCTAAACTACCCTCATTTATATCTATCAACCAACAAAGTTCATACCGGTAATATAGAAAATACATAAAGTACACAAAGACAATTATTTTGAGTATGGCAAAATAATATTAAATAGTTTATCAGCACTTATACGTTCTGAATCTCAGACAGCGTTATTGCTCACTAGCTTGAGATTTCATGTTAAAATCACTTCACGATAAATTGTTTTTGTCCCTCGGTTTAACAGAAAAAGGGGACTAGATTACGCTCTAAATTGAGGGCAAAAATGTAATTAATATCACGTGATTCTCTCATAAGATCTTAACCTAACGGGAAATAACGCTAGATCAAGAGGTGTAACTGCTAATACAATAGTTTAGAGGACAAAGTGGTTTTAACGGGATGTATTTACAATTAACCTTCTAGTTTAACTGTAAGATGTATTTACAATTAACCTTCTAGTTTAACTGTAAGCTAGTATAAACAACACTCGAGGTTCGTACCATGGTACTGTACGCATAACCGTTGGGTAACACAAGCGGCCGGTTCAAATGATCCATAGGCTGTTTGGATATATAACAGATAAGCTTGGAACTGCGATGGTTTGAGAATGGCAATTGTTCTATCCATAGGCTGTTTGGATATATAACAGATAAGCTTGGAACTGCGATGGTTTGAGAATGGCAATTGTTCTGCCAATTTGCGGAAGCCCGCCTGCGAAAATAAGCTTGGAACTGCGATGGTTTGAGAATGGCAATTGTTCTGCCAATTTGCGGAAGCCCGCCTGCGAAAATGGGTCTTCTTTTGGACAGTTCCCTTCATAACAAGATCTTGTGTAAGTTAAAGAAACAAACAGTACTCTTAAGTGATTTTTCCATCCATATAAGTAGCAAGGTAATTTAATGTGTATATGCAAAAAAAAAGTAAATTTCACGAAACCCCGAAGGAGTTTGACCCATATTGAGATAACCCTAAACAAGCTGCGAAATGTCACTTAAACCCCAAACTTTTTCAGATAACCCCCAAAGTTGGGGGTTATCTGAAAATAATGGAAAAATGCAAAAGTTTCAGGGTTAACTGACGTTTTTCTAACATTTTAGAGGTTATCTAAAAATGGGGGACTGGTTTCATGAAATTTATCAAAAAAAGTACATGTATTATACCTAACATGTTGTATAAGGATACAAAGTTTTCAGGACTGTTAATCCCGCTTGGAGATGGATATCCAGCGGAGATTCATTAGTTATACCAAACAATCTATGAAATTCTCTCTTGAAATCTTCGACCAAATAGTCCCATTGCTTTTCCTCAAACAAAACCTGAATGAAGAAAGATAGCTCGTATAATCAGAATGTGTTCAACAACCAAATTAAATTGACGTGACACAAATCTTTACAAACTTAAGTTACCACACAAAACTTCATGCTCATATATATTATTAACTGACCACGTCAAACAAGAATATCGCTGATAGTCATTTGTGGTTTTGAGGAATATGTTTGCATCAGTAATATTGGATGAATGCACACCGCTCAACAGAAGAAGGATAAACATGATTTCTTCAATGAAGATTTTGATAGATTGATGCAGGAACATGAAGGAAAATTTATCCCCTAGCACAAGCATGACTGAAGAATATCAGAACTAGTTGATAAAAAGATCCATTGTTTGATTTTGAATAGGGAAAAAAAGACCAGTCACAGGCATCGGTTAATTGACTCATGGAAAGGAGGACAACTCAAGAACAAGTTGTTCAGCAGAAGCGATTGATAAATAAAGGTGCATCAAAATAATTTTGGAGCTAGGTTGCCCAAACACTTCATCTAGGCTCCCATATCCGTGTCCGTATTCATGTCCGTGTCCGACACTCCTTGGACACTTCTTGAATATACACATACATTTCCAGACGTACTCAATTATATAACACATGTTTTAGTTCAAAATACTTGTGACACAGTACTTGAATGTATAGAGTACACTTCACCTCAAATTCTGCTACTCATTGAACTTGGGGCATGTTCGTTTTAGCACATACCTAGTTCATAAGTATGATTTTAAAGAGTCGTATGGGTATCTAGTTCAATAAGAGCAGTTTTTCAATTCATAATCTACTTGATAAAAGAAATATAAAGATGGTACAAGGATGTTAGTTCTCATGACATGTGAATGAAAAATAATATCAGTTTCATGTAAATTATTAATTTTAAGATGTATGTATACAGCCGTGTCCTCATATCCTAACTTTTAACAATTTGGTCGTCTCCCGTATCTGCACCCATGTCCGTGTCTGTGTCCCCACCCGTATCCATGTAACATAGTTTGGGAACACAGGATCACATACAGGTGGTTTCGGAATCAAATTTTAGTCTGTCCAATTAGCAGCATTTCGTTTGAATTAGTAACAAAAGGATTTGGATAGTAACCTATTGACAGATCCCTGAATTCTCTTTCGTTAATATACATACAGTAATTTATCGATAGTTAGGAACTTTTATGGATTATTTGTGAAATGTATTTAAATATTAATGTCGGAGCATCCTTGAAACAACCAGTTTACAAGAGAAGCATAATATTTTCAAGAACAATCTGGCCTCTTTCTATACTATAAATACACACACATTCAAACAAGAAACAAAGCAATAAAGCTAATAACTGTTGACCAGATAATGGGGTCTATAACAAGAAAAATGGAAAATGGTAGCACACAAATTTCAGCATCCAAATGACAAAATAAATAAGACCTAACCACTTAGACTGCACATAGACCCCTGTACTATCCTTGTTAGAAACTTACTACTCTTGTCGTTTCATTGTCCAGAAAGAGCTCCAGGGTGTTTAGAACTCTTTACCCTTTAGATAGACTCACTAATTTGACCGAGGTGCAATATCTACCAAATATTAACCGAAAGAAAGAAACTGAAAAAAAACTAACCCAGTGGTCTATCTAGAACAATGAAATTAAAAGGGTAGTAGCTACAAAACAGGAAAACTACAGGGGGTCTATGGGCAATTAACCATATTTAATGGTAGCAGAAGATATGGTTAAGCTGTCTGCATTAGCACACATGAATATGTAAAACAGATTGTAGTTACAAAACCTACCTTGTATGTCTCACATTCAGTATTGACACTAAATGCAAAGGCTCCCATGACATGTTCTAGCTCTTCCCTAAATGTAGCTCCCCAGGGCGCAAGGTAATTTTGAGCATAATCAACAGCCAGACTGAGGTTGTCAATGCGCAACAATTCTATAAACTCCTGACGCCTCAAGTGGAACTCAAATTTACTCTGCAGCATACAAGTTGCATAAAGTGTGAAGTGATAGAAAATTATTTAAGCTCCATCAAATGGGACAAATAGAATATCGGAATTAAAGAAACAGGTTCACCCATATTTATTCACTTTACAACCTCCAAAAAGTTACACTGGGAAATACTAAACAAAATGTATATCCTTCTATTGAAAAATCGCAGAAAAACGAAAATAAGAAGGGAGATACAGGAAAAGAATGGCATGTCATAGTAAGCTAACACTAACAGAGAAAATAGGAGCTGCCTGCTAAGAGCCAATATCAATATATATGTTGATGATTGCATATTTAGTGGAATTTATTACCTCATACCAGTTTCCCGGAAGACATCAAATTTGACTATTCAGGTCTCAGTTTATACTCACTCAGATTACCACTGAAATTTCCACTAAAATGTTACCTCTTCCCACCCAAGGCTTTTCATGACAAGTGCATGTGCATGTGTGTGTGCACACATGCGTGTAAGTATAATTCATTAAGTATTGTTATGAATCAGAAAGTCCCTGGATTCTCGAAAAGTGCGTGCAGTTTCACTCAATGACTTATGTTGCGCGCAGCGGAAATTTCGGCAGCACTTCGGCAGCACAACAAGAGAGTCAGGTCGCAATAAGAATTCTTGTTTCTCAAAGGGAACAAGAATCTGAAGCCTATATCCTATCAAAGTAGGATATTAGCTCTTCCTCTCGTCAGCTCTAGGACTGCGCGTCGAGGGACCCTAAAAGCTATTACAAATCACACAAATAACGAGACAACCAATTTTAACGTGGTTCGGCAAATTGCCTACGTCCACGGGGCAAGGAGGGGGGAGATCTACTAATAGAGGGAGAGAATACAACTAGGGTTTACAATCACTCACAATTTAAACCCTCACACAAACTCTCAAATCCCTCACACAATATCTCTCTACAAAAGAGGATGCACAAAACCCTTGCGCACAAAATCAGCACCAAAAGGAATCACTGTAGCCGAAATAAATCAACCCCTTTGCTGCGCCTGCACACCTGTAGCCGCACAAATCAAAACCAAATAAATCTCCTTGCACAGCACTTGCGCACCGGAAAAAGAACTCAGCCTCTTCTTTTTCTTTTTCCTTTGCACGCCGTTCTTCTGCCCTCAACCGCTTGCACACAAACCTAGGAAGAGGAAATCAGTTTTATATAGGGAATAGAATCGGGTGGGCCTCACTTCCTTCTTTGCACAAACCTCACGCGGAAACAAATCCCACGAATCATTCACGTGGCTTCAATCACGTGGTAGACCCCAAGTAGACCCCCCACGTCACAATTCTCCACCTCGGTGAAGTTTTCCCAAAACTGAGCCGACACCAAATCAAGGCTTGTACAAATATTCTAAGCAAAGAAAAATTCAAATACATTATCTTTTGTTCTTCATTTTCTTCACTTCAAAATGCCTTGATATTCACTTGCACTTGTACATATTCTGATATTGAAATCTGCATATGAAAGTTAGTGCACACAAAATATAAATTGTTATCATCAAAACATTATCATGGAGAAATGATATTCAACAATACTTACCGCCTGTGACAAATCTGGCCTCGTACATACCATCGCGTACATCAAGCTCCCAACCGCGCTCGCATATGGAGTCTTCGACATCAACTCACGATCTTCAACTGACTTCGGTGAGAGACCAGCTGAAAGCTTCAAATGGGCTCCCAATGGTACACTAACTGGCTTCGTATCCATGCTAACATGGAATCGCTGTAGAACTTTCTTCAAATAAGCCACCTGTGTCAAACAAATTCTGCCATTTTTCTTGTCTCTGCCGATCTCCATCCCTAAAATGCGCTTCGCCTCGCCCAATTCCTTCATCTCAAACTCATTTGAAAGCTGAACTTTCAACTCATCTATAGCCGACCTGGAAATAGAGGCAACCAACATGTCATCGACATAGAGCAACAAATAAATATACGCACCTCCTTTCAACTTGCGAAAATATACGCAAGGATCAAACTGGCTCCGAGTGTACGAATGACCAAGCATAAAACCATCGAATCGCCTATACCACTGTCGAGGAGACTGCTTCAAACCGTATAGCGATTTCTTCAGTTTGCAAACTAATTTTTCTTTCCCTGCAGCTCGGAATCCCAATGGCTGAGTCATATATATTTCTTCATCAAGATCACCATGAAGAAATGCCGTTTTCACATCCAACTGATCTAATTCCAAACCATACTGTGCCACCAAAGCTAGCAAAATCCGAATCGAAGAATGCTTCACCACCGGAGAGAAAACCTCATTATAGTCAATACCTTCCTCCTGTGCATAGCCCTTCGCAACCAACCTAGCCTTGAATCTCAACGGAGTGCCTTCAATGCCCTCCTTCTTCGTGTATACCCACTTGCAACCAATTGCTTTCCGCCCCTTTGGAAGCTCAACAAGCTCCCATGTATCGTTCTTATGAAGAGATTCCATCTCCTCCTGCATAGCCACCTGCCACGAATCAGCCTCCGAACTCTGCTCGGCCTCTCTGAATGTAGTAGGCACTAACTCATCGATACTCTCCACCGGAAGTGCATACGCAACTGTGTCGGCATACCGTGCTGGCATCTGTATGTTTCTCCTCTGTCTCCTAGCCGCAATAGAATCCTGAACCTGAGCCGTCGGTTCCTGATCCTGCACATTTGTACTCGTATCCTCCGTGTCATCGTCGTGCTCGCCTGGCGTCACCTCAGTCGGCACCTGCATGGATACTGTACCATCTGGACAATGTGGAGCTGCATCGATCTCCACCACCTGCGATATCTCCTCCGTCGGGTCGCTCTCCACCTGATGAGAGCTGGGAAGCTTCAAGATAGAAGCCTCATCAAATGTGACGTCCCTACTCAGAACAATCTTTTTATCAACTGGATCCCAAAGCTTGTATCCCTTGACACCACGCTTGAATCCTACAAATATGGCCTTCCTAGCTCGAGGTTCCAATTTATCAGTTCTAACATGATAATATGCAGGGCACCCGAATACCTTGAGCTGGTCATAGTCATGTGCTGGCTTTCCCGACCACATCTCCATAGGGGTTTTCCCCTCAATCGCAGATGAAGGCAGCCTATTAATGAGGTGGCTCGCATATGTAAGTGCCTCAGCCCAAAAGATCTTCTCCAAACCACTCTGCGACAATAAGCATCGGATCTTCTCCAGTAAAGACCGATTCAACCTCTCTGCCACCCCATTTTGCTGCGGTGTATGACTAACTGTGAAGTGTCTCTCTATGCCCTCGTCTCGACATAGCTGCTGAAAGGGGTCAGAAGTATACTCACCACCGTTGTCGGATCGCAACGTCTTGATCTTTCTCCCAGTCTGCAGTTCCAATCTCTTCTTCCACTCCACAAACAAATCTAGGACTTCACTCTTCTTCGTCATGGTGTACACCCAACAACGCCTAGAATAGTCATCTACAAAAGTGACGAACCAATGTCTACCACCAAGTGATGCAGTCTTGGTGGGACCCCAAACGTCTGTGTGCACGTAATCCAGGATGCCCCTCGTCTGATGAATGGCAGTCCCGAACTTCACCTTCGTCTTCTTGCCAAGAACACAGTGCTCACAGAACTCAATCTTCCCACTCTTGGCTCCCTTCAATAGCCCCTGCTTGCACAATGTCTGCAGTGACTTTTCACCTGTGTGCCCCAATCTATAGTGCCAAAGTCTGCTCATGTCCGCTTCTGAAATAGCCGAAGCAACCTGGCCAATCTCGGTGCTTCCCTTCAGATAATACAAATTCCGATTGCGGACTCCCCTCATCACCACCAATGATCCCTTAGTAACCTTCGCTACAGCGTTTTCGAAAGTCACCTTGAATCCCTTCGCCTCCAAAGCTCCAACTGAGATAAGATTTTTCTTCAGTTGAGGAACAAATCTCACCTCCTTCAACTCACGGACTACTCCATCGTGCATCCTAATCCGCACGGTACCTATCCCACAAACGCCACAGGATTGATCATTTCCCATGACAACAACGCCCCCGTCGACTTTCTCAAAAGATGCAAACCAGTCTCGCCTAGGGGTCACATGAAAGGTAGCGCCGGAATCAAGCATCCAATCTGATGCATCCACATGGTTCACCTCCGGAGTAATCAGTAGAGAAAAGCACGAATCATCGGAATCATCGCCTTTCGCAATGTTCACCTCATTGGCCTTCGGGCCCTTTTTCTTGCTATTCTCCTTCTCTTTGAGCTTCGGGCAGTCTCTCTTCCAATGTCCCTGCTCCTTGCAGAATGCACATTGGTTCTTTGTTAATTGGTGGCGGCCTCTAGACTTTGACCTCCCTCTGTTACCACCTTTCGGATATGGGCTTCTACCTCTTGTCGACAAGGCCTCTCCTGAAGTACTAGCGCGGGAAGTCTCCTTATCCTTCCTCCTCAAATCGTAGTTCGTCAAAGCGTTAGTCACTTCACTATAGCTGATAGAAGATCTCCCGTTCAACAAAGTGAGCACGAAGGTATCATACTCCTCATCCGGTAAGGAGCCCAACAAAATAATCGCCTTGTACTCATCCGATATCTTCTCATCAACATTCGCCAAGTCCGACAACAACTTCGTATAGTTGTTCACATGAGCCGCAAGCGAGGTGCCTCTGGACATCTGGAATCTGAATAACCTACGCAGCAAGTGCAATCGGTTCTCAACACTCTTCGTAAGGTACTTATTGTTGAGAATTTCCCACATCTTCATCGCAGACGTCACCCCAATCACATCATACTTCAGCTCCTGTTCCAAACAGGACCTGATCACCCCACAAGCGTTCCTATTCATTTTCTCCCATACCGCCTCTTCATATTTAGGTGGCCTCTCGTGGACCATGATGGTCTCTTCCAAATTCTGAGCATTTAACGCATCCTGTACGTCGCTCATCCACAAACCAAAGTTGATTTTTCCGTCATATTTCACCACACTAATTTTGGTGTTTTGAAAACCAACTTGTATTGTACCCGCCATCGATTTGCTGCTTTCACCTTCTTCTCCCATTGCGAACTAACTCCAAATTGTAGAGAAAGAACAAATTTGATAGAATTAGGAACCACCCAACTGAACCCTAGATCGGATTCCAAATAGATCTCCTATCCACACGAGGAAAGCGAAATCTCCAACGGCCACTCCTAATGCTATCTCCACCGAAGCCTAGAACTCCAAGAACCAAGCTTCCAACTGAATCTTCCTCCACCAAAAAACCCTAGATCTGAAATCTGGGCTCTGATACCACTTGTTGCGCGCAGCGGAAATTTCGGCAGCACTTCGGCAGCACAACAAGAGAGTCAGGTCGCAATAAGAATTCTTGTTTCTCAAAGGGAACAAGAATCTGAAGCCTATATCCTATCAAAGTAGGATATTAGCTCTTCCTCTCGTCAGCTCTAGGACTGCGCGTCGAGGGACCCTAAAAGCTATTACAAATCACACAAATAACGAGACAACCAATTTTAACGTGGTTCGGCAAATTGCCTACGTCCACGGGGCAAGGAGGGGGGAGATCTACTAATAGAGGGAGAGAATACAACTAGGGTTTACAATCACTCACAATTTAAACCCTCACACAAACTCTCAAATCCCTCACACAATATCTCTCTACAAAAGAGGATGCACAAAACCCTTGCGCACAAAATCAGCACCAAAAGGAATCACTGTAGCCGAAATAAATCAACCCCTTTGCTGCGCCTGCACACCTGTAGCCGCACAAATCAAAACCAAATAAATCTCCTTGCACAGCACTTGCGCACCGGAAAAAGAACTCAGCCTCTTCTTTTTCTTTTTCCTTTGCACGCCGTTCTTCTGCCCTCAACCGCTTGCACACAAACCTAGGAAGAGGAAATCAGTTTTATATAGGGAATAGAATCGGGTGGGCCTCACTTCCTTCTTTGCACAAACCTCACGCGGAAACAAATCCCACGAATCATTCACGTGGCTTCAATCACGTGGTAGACCCCAAGTAGACCCCCCACGTCACAACTTATTCACACACCAAAAGGTAAAGGAAAGAGAAAGAACACATTTCACCTCTTTAATAACAATAGATTATCAAGGCCCCCTCAGTCACTCCCTCTCTAACATTCACCAAAACGAAAACAGAAAGGAAAGAAAATTTCTCAGGCCTTACAGAAAAGGAAAGGAAGGAAGAAAAAGGAACTATAAACTATTAGATCAGGACATGTTTTCCCTAGGATATTTTCTCAACTCTTCAAGTGCATGCTCGCACTATCTTACCACAAGCTTCCTAGCGCATAAAATAGAAGATGGTAATACACATAATAACAGCTTCAACATGCATTAAAAGATGAAAATAAAACAAAAACCACTTAGTCAACATACCTTGAATTTGTTCAACCTGATCCTGTTCTCTGCACACCAAGCTAAAGCAGGAGGTATTTCCTTATTATGAAGAAAATCAATTATCTCTTTTGCCTCGAGAAAGACATCAATGTCAACAAGGTCCTATAATAAAGGGATTAACAAGTTCTTGTTACCTTAAGCAATTGATAACAAGGCTGATTATAATACAGCAAGAAAGTTTATGATAATTGGATGATACGCAAAAGTGATCAAATTAGTTATTAGAACAAACAGGTAAGGCGGTGTGCTTATTGCAGAATCACGTCAAAAAAATAAGAAGAGCGCTTACTAGTGCTTTAGCTAGTGAAACCATTTCATACTCAGTTACACCTATAGGAAATCTCAAAGCTTCTATCAGCAAACTCTCTTTGTTTCTATAGAAATGCTTCTAATTTTTAGATCGATTTTTAGAAAAGCTAAATCATGAGCGCAAAAAGGCATTAACTGACAGGGGCTTATTTAGTGCTGTGGTTAGAGGGTCAGCGACAAACACTAAAAGAACTGAAAGTCTTTTTCAAAAGCTGTAGATTGAAGACAATCACCAGATTAAGATCTTTCTTAATTTAAGGCAGAGTGCTGCCAAGGCCAAGATGGTCAAACCTAGAAAATTTGCGGCAAGGCAAACGATCTCTCTTCCAACGAGTTTTTTTCATCAGACATATTATTCATTACTCAAGATCAGCCATAAATTTCATGGGATCTTAAGTCCATTATAGTTCTCCGTTTTTCGATATGTTCCTAATTTACCATGGCAGACACAACCTCAAGAGATGGAAAAAAAAACTCGTGAAACTACCGCATCTATGACAACATTGTCATTAGCATTTTATATCCACCTCAGTTGAATTCAATGAAGAAAAATCTTTTTGATGGTGCTATAAAGAAGTGAGTTATGTTAAAATCATATTTGCATTATGTAAATGAAGCAACTCATAGAAAATCTTTGGCCATATTGATATTAAGCATCAAATTCATACTACATATTTTGTCTTAGAAATTCCTAAAGGTAAAAAGCTTACCTGTATATTGTAAGTTTCTGCCAGTTTAGTGGCAAAAACAATGTCACACTTGCGCAAGAAGTAGTCAACAAGGATTCGCTTCAACTTCATATCATTCCACTCCTTCAGATTACCTACACTTGCAGTTCCTAGGTGGTCTAATCTAGTTCGGCATCTTTGTAGCTGTAAGGTCTCGATCTCATTACGTTCTTCTAACTGATCCAAAACGAAAACGTACAAATCAGATAATAATTGCAATATTAGCAAGTTCGAAAACTTGATCAGTAGAACGTTCAAACATGAAGTATGTTAAGAAATACCGTACAGGCATTTGTATCAAAATCCTCTTTTTAATCACAGTTGCGAGTATCAGATTCTTGTCCTTGCAGGAAAATCAAGAAATATGAAATTTTGATAGGGTTGATATAGGGCTGTATTCTCCTATGTCTCTACAAATTTCTTGGTTTGGAAATATAAAAATCAAGAAAATCAAGAAATATCCTCAAGTGCTACAAAAATCCTAAATTTGTGATTTTCTTGGCAATTAAAGAATCTTAAGCACCAGATAGACAGACGCAATCTAAAATCTCATCTCTATTTCTAGCATTTCTCTGTGTGTGTTTGTGTGTGTTATCAAAATGCTTAGTTTTCAAAGGTTATCCTGTGATGCATCTACTCTTCGTGTTTCAATAACCTCCAAGATTTGCAGCTTTTTACAGTAAAATACTAATAACTTTCAAAATTGTACTACACCCAATAACTTTTGGAACTGCATAACCGCATTTTGCGGAAAACCCCCACAAATGAGAACTAAAAAACAACATAAAAGAGTATTTTGAATTTGTTGGGGGGTTTAGTGTAATTTACCTAAAACATACTGGATGTTTCTACAAAATGCTAAAAGTTCTTGGGGGGTTAGTGTTATTTACCCATATTCTATCATTGGTTTTTTTTTTTTTAAACTTAATAGATGAGAATTTTTTGATTCCCTGTAGTTCACTCTTCTAAAATCCTGGAAAAATCAAGGACTGAGATATCGATTCCTCACCCTGAGTTTGAGACCTCGGAGCTTCGAAACCGCCGCCGTCAACTTCGTCACCGCCTGATCGCCCGACATTTCGGCCCGTACCGCAGAGATGACGGCCGAAACTTCGTTCCTTGCGATTCGGTGGTTGTTTCGGACCGTCCTTTTGAATTGCTCGAAGGGGACTTTCAAGAACTGGTACTCTAGACTCTGCGACTCGGCGAGTCTTCTGAGCTTCAGAAGTTGTGCTGCTTCTGCCCGGAGGCGGAGACGGAGGAGGAGGCGGAGGAGGAGGAGCTGGACTCCGTAGAATCTTGGGTTACGGGAATTGATGGCATTGGAGAATTCTTCGGACGGCGGGAATGAGTTCGGGACTTTGATGATCGAGGTTTTGGGTTTTCTTTCTTTTATGTCGTAAATAAATGTATTTAATATTTCTACAAGCGTACTTATAAGGAATGGGAACAGTACTGCTACGAGTATTAGTAGATTATTATATAATTAATAATTTTTTTTAATTAAACGTGTATGTACGTATGCAGGGTCGGATGGACGTATAGTGTAGGGGTGCGCGGTTGCACCCCTAAAGATTTGTAAATTGCGCATAAGTTTTGATAATATTTACAATTTTACCCCAAAGAACTTTAAAAACTGCACCTGATCAAACCTATTTAATAACACTGAAAAATTACTAGCAAATTAAATTACCCATTGGAAACCGAAAACTCATTTAAATTTTCAACAATCAACCCTTATAACACATATGATGTGATAGAGTTAATGTGATAGAGTTAATAAACTATACAGAATACGTTCCCGTCAAGTACAGTAATTTGTAATATTATATATTTTTTAATTATTAACAGATACTTGTTGCCCACCCCTCAAGAATAATTTTCTAGATCCGCTATTATGCATGCATATATGAAGTCATGTGTCAATATCTAAGAAAAATATACTCGGACATGCTGCTGCTAATGATGATGATGCTAACATTATTATCGTTACAACAAGATGTTCCGTTGAGAAGTTGGATTTCTTTAGAAATAGACATTGCCGACTTGCGGACCGAGGATGTTTCAATGGTGTTATAGCCTGGAAAATTAACAAGTGCTAATCTCCTTATAGAAACCGACACGTGTTTTACTCCTTGCCTATATTACACGAATTGAGGCTAAGACGACTCAAAACTAGCACACTAAGCCAATCCTATTGGCCGATGCGTAGTCGAGTCAAAAGGCGGTACTTATCGACTACCCCACTCGGCCGATCCTTTGGGCCGACAACCTACGTAACCGAGTCAAAAGACGGTGCTTGCCCTGGACCAAACAAACAAAGAAGCGGCAGTTGTCAAAAAGTCCAAGTATCATTAGTAGCCGGAAGGAAAATATAGTGATAGAGCAGTTCTATAAAGGGTAGATTTGGTTTACTGCAAAATGCAGGGGCTGTAACAACAATAACAACTGCATTTGCCAAAAAAAGTACCCACTTGTAGTGGACAACTCACGCAAAATTGAATGTAAAAGTTGCGACCTTTGTAAGTTGAAAAATAAGGTATAAACTATAAGCAACCAATGCTCACTTAGCCACTATGATTCAACAAAAATCTTACATCCCAAAACTAACATTTGGACACATCTCCAAGTTCAAAATCTTAAACTGAAGCCAAGCAAGCGCGAAGGAAACAATAACTAGAACTCAAGATAAAGGAGGTCAGGAACTGAACTGTACACATCTTATTACCATCCACTTTAAACCAATCTAATTACAGTGTCCCTCACAACCAGAGGTCAAAACCTGCGGCTTCATACAAGCAGGTCGAGAAAATTTATCGAAATGAAAGCAAGAAGGATTATCAGACTGTACAGTATGTGATAACATTTTCTATAACTCGATTTGTGCGGTAACAAGCTCACTAAGGTGGTACACATCACCAGTCCTGGGGCAGGTGATTTCGCCTTCGTTCCCCACAGCCCTGCAAAGTGCCTGTGGCATAGTCACATGAAAAAAGCATGACTCCAATAACTCCTGTCTTCAACTTGGTTGATATATTTGGTGTAAGTTTGAGAAAACTACCATAAAGTTTCAAAAATACAGAAAAATACTATGAATAATTTAAAACTGTAGCTTACGATGCTAAAATCCTGTACAGAAGATCTAGACTACCGTCATTTATATCTATCAACCAACAAAGTTCATACTGATACCGGTAATATAGAATATATATATAAAGTACACAGACAATTATTTTGAGTATGGCAAAACAATATTAAATAGTTTATCAGCAGCACTTATGCATTCTGAATCTCAGACAGCTTTATTGCTCACTAGGTTGAGATTTCATGTTAAAATCACTCGAGGATAAATTGTTTTTGTCCCTCGGTTTAACAGAAAAAGGGGACTAGATTACCCTCTAAATTGAGGGCAAAAATGTAATTAATATCACATGATTCTCTCGTAAGATCTTAACCTAACGGGAAATAACGCTAGATCAAGAGGTGTAACTGCTAATACAATAGTTTAGAGGATAAAGTGGTTTTAACGGGATGTATTTGCAATTAACCTTCTAGTTTAACTGTAAGCTAGTATAAATAACATTCGAGGTTCGTACCATGGTACTGTATGCATAACCGTTGGGTAACACAAGCGGCGGGTTATCATAATCCATAGGCTGTTTGGATATATAACAGATAAGCTTGGAACTGCGATGGTTTGAGAATGGCAATTGTTCTATCCATAGGCTGTTTGGATATATAACAGATAAGCTTGGAACTGCGATGGTTTGAGAATGGCAATTGTTCTGCCAATTTGCGGAAGCCCGCCTGCGAAAACAAGCTTGGAACTGCGATGGTTTGAGAATGGCAATTGTTCTGCCAATTTGCGGAAGCCCGCCTGCGAAAACGGGTCTTTATTTGGACAGTTCCCTTCATAACAAGATCTTGTGTAAGTTAAAGAAACAAACAGTACTCTTAAGTGATTTTTCCATCCATAAAAGTAGCAACGTAATTTAATGTGTATATGAAAAAAAAGTAAATTTCACGAAACCCCGAAGGAGTTTGACCCATATTGTGATAACCCTAAACAAGCTGGGAAATGTCACTTAAACCCCCAAACTTTTTCAGATAACCCCAAAAAAGTTGAGGGTTATCTGAAAATAATGGAAAAATGTGAAAGTTTCAGGGTTAACTGACATTTTTCTAACATTTTAGAGGTTGTCTAAAAATGGGGGAGTTATCCAAAAAAAAGAAGTACATGTATTATACCCCCCCCTAACATGTTGTATAAGGATACAAAGTTCTCAGGACTGTTAATCCTGCTTGGAGATGGATATCCAGCAGTGATTCAGTAGTTATACCATACAATCTATAAAATTCTCTCTTGAACTCTTCAACTAAATAGTCCCATTGCTTTTCCTCAAACAAAACCTGAATGAAGAAAGATAGCTCATATAATCAGAATGTGTCCGACATCCAAATTAAATTGACTTGACACAAATCTTTACAAACTTAAGTTACCACACAAAACTTCATGCTCATATATATTATTTACTGACTAAGTCCAACAAGAATATCGCTGATAGTCATTCGTGGTTTTAGATGAATACGTTTACATCAGTAATATTGGATGAATGCACACCGCTCAACAGAAGATATTAACATGACATTCTTCAATGAAGATTTTGATAGATTGATGCAGGAACATGAAGGAAAATTTATTCCCTAGCACAAGCATGACTGAAGAATATCAGAACTAGTTGATAAAAAGATCCATTGTTTGATTTTGAATAGGAAGAAAAAGACCAGTCACAGGCATCGGTCAATTGACTCATGGAAATGAGGACAACTCAAAAACAAGTTGTTCAGCAGAAGCAATTGATAATAAAGGTGCATCAAAATAATTTTGGAGCTAGGTTGCTCAAACACTTCATCTAGGCTCCCATATCAGTGTCCTTATTCATGTCCATGTCTGACACTCCTTGGACACTTCTCAAATATACACATACATTTTCATACATACTCAATCATATAACACATGCTTTAGTTCAAAATACTTGTGACACACTTCTTGAATGTATAGAGTACACTTCACCTCAAATTCTGCTACTCATTGAACTCGGGGCATGTTTGTTTTAGAACATACCTAGTTCATAAATATGATTTTAAAGAGTTGTTTGGGTATCCAGTTCAATAAAGAGCAGTTTTTCAAATCATAATCTACTTGATAAAAGAAATATAAAGATGGTACAAGGACGTTAGTTCTCATGACATGTGAATGAAAAATAATATCAGTTTCATGTAAATTATTAATTCTTATACAATCATGTCCTCATGTCCTAAGCAATTTTTCCGTCTCCCGTATCCGCACCCATGTTCGTGTCTGTGTCCTTACCCGTATCCATGTAACGTAGTTTTGGAACACAGGATCACACACAGGTGGTTTTAGAATCAAATTTTAGTCTGTCCAATTAGCAGCATTTGGTTTGAATTAGTAACAAAAGGATTTGAATAGTAACCTATTGACAGATCCCTGAATTCTCTGTTTTGTTAATATACATACAGTAATTTATGGATAGTTAGGAACTTCAAGTGTTTGGATTATTTGTGAAATGTATTTAAATATTAATTTGGAGCATCCTTGAAACAACCAGTTTGCAAGAGAACCATAATATTTTCAAGAACAATCTGGCCCCTTTCTATCCTATCAATAAACACACACATTCAAACAAGAAACAAAGCAATAAAGCTCATAACTGTTGACCAGATAATGGGGTCTATAACAAGAAAAATAGAAAATGGTAGCACACAAATTTCTGCATCCAAATGACAAAATAAATAAGATCTAACCACTCGGACTGCACATAGACCCCCTGTACTATCCTTGTTAGAACTTACTCTTCTTGTCGTTTCATTGTCCAGAAAGAGCTCCAGGGTATTTAGAACTCTTTACCCTTTAGATAGACTCACTAATTTGACCGAGGTGCAATATCTACCAAATATTAACCGAAAGAAAGAAACTGAAAAAAAACTAACCCAGTGGTCTATCTAGAACAATGAAATTAAAAAAAGTAGCAGCTGCAAAACAGAAAAACTACAGGGGGTCTATTGGGCAATTAACCCTATTTAATTGTAGCAGAAGATATGGTTAAGCTGTCTGCATTAGCACACATGAATACGTAAAACAGATTGTAGTTACAAAACCTACCTTGTATGTCTCACATTCAGTATTGCCACTAAAAGCAAAGGCTCCCATGAC